TACTACTACTACTACTACTACTGGACGATATGGAGCAGGAAAAGACTGAGCAGCCGATACTCGGGCATGCGAGCTTGGGCTGCGGCCACCAGGTTCACAAATTGCTGGCGCCATGCAAGCCCTTCTACGGTGAAACTGTGGCTGAAGGTTCAGCAGTCTTGCCTGGTTGTGTTGTTTCGAGTTGATTGAGTCTTGATGCCGCTAGCATGCACCCACTCGGGCTGTGCGACACAGGGGCTCCTTGAAGTTGGTCATTTATGGTACGAGTACCATTTTGGCGTCATGTGACTCTGGAGGAGTTGGATAGCATTAGGTTGCTCCGACGAGCTCGCACAGGCCGGCGTGCAAAGTACATGTACACTCGTTTCCGTTTCAGAAGACCGCCACTGTCCCCAGTAGGTCAGTAGGGCTGACCCCAGAGTGCTGCTCCTCTACGCTTCGCCGAAGATCGCTGACCTCAGTGCGTAAGCTACGGCATGGGAAGGTGTGCCATCGTCTCAGGGCGTTTCAATGAAACTTCACTGTATTTGGCACCTGCTGTGTCAGCGTGCGGATCTCCTGCCTCCATCCATCCCGCCTGGGCACAACTCAGTAAAGCACAAGCAGGCAAGCTGCCAGTCACACCTAGCAGGAAAGACTCAGGAAGTTTGAGACCTTGCCGAGTTCGCGACTCGGCTTCCAGGTCATGCAGCGTTTGATCATGAAACCTTGCACAACTGTCCCCTTGATGCACGAAGCCTTCCGTGGCCACAAGGCGATAACTCTACCTTTACCTGAGGGCTGAGGCACCCACTCTGCATGCGCCTGAAAGCTTTGCTCCCTCTCTTTGGCGACCTGACACTTGCACAGAGTTGCACACCCTGCTCTCGGCCTCTGCCGCGCTGCCGCTGCGAGACTACATAAAGATCGTGACTTCGACAGCTGTGCAATCGACCGCTGCGCCGACCGGAACCACTAAGCACGCAACACGGAGAATTGCGGCCATCTGGGCCAATGCAGCATGAAGCGCTGGATAGCTCTGCCGAGGCTGTCCCTCCTGCAACAGACAGAAGTGCGTCCCTCCACAATCTCTCTCGTGTCCCACGGGGCCGTTGTTCCAACCGCCTTACACAGCCCTAGAAAGCCCTTTCACAACCCTTGAAAATCCGAGCAAAAACCCAAGCCCTCGAAGCCCAAATTTTGAAGATCCCCCCGGAAGGCCCCTACATCTCTAACCCGGGGAGAGCCCCGAAACCGACTTGAAACCAGGCCTCCTCGTTGCTTCCTGGGGCCCGGAAGCGGTGGCGAAGAGAGGCCGGCGGGGCTTCGCGGACCTTTCCGAGGCTTCCCGATCTCCTCGGGCAAAGCTTAAAGCCATAAGACCCGAAGCTGTTAGGGTTCAGCGCTTCAGGGTTTAGGGCTTCTTTGTGTTTTGCAGACCTTTGTCCGCTTTGGGGTTTAGGCTTTCTGGGTTTAGGTTTTAAGATGTTTGTGCTCTAGGGTGTTTAGGGACCAGGGGTTAGGATTGTAGGGTCCACTGCCACTTGTATAGGAACAGCAAGCAACCAACGCGGATGCATTTCGGAGCATGGACCAATTCCTATGCACTCTGAGCCCTGGGCAAGGGCACTGAACTTTCTGCTGCCACTGCCACCGGCCTGACTGGAACAGAATGCATCTAAGAAAACTGGCTTCAACCGTGAATGCACTGCTCGTTGCCGCACCTGGGTACTGCAAAAGCTCCGAGATTGCAACATGAAGCGGTGAGGGTAACAAACAAAACAAATTCACAAGCCTTATGGTAGCCTCCGAAACTCCGCACAGCCTGCATTCTGAAACAAGCGTCCTGTTCTCCGAACCATACTTGTGCCAGGCAGCACCATGTCCTCTGGCGGCAAGACTGTCGGCGATGTCTCCGGGACGACCGGGTTCGATGCCTGACACGTGACACGAGAATCGAAGCAACAGCCCAGCAGGAAGACAGCATGCGTCCGACACAGGCTAATATTCCTGCAGCAAAGCAACGGCAGTGGCTGCAGCAGATACCTCTTCTTGCTGCTTCCTCGCTGCCGGTTTCAGGGTCGTAGGACACCGCCGATACTGTAGCTGGATTGTAATTATCTTGCTGTTGCTCATGCGGCGTGTGCATCCGTCGAAACCAAAATCAACATGGCATCAAAGTTACACAGCACCTGCTACTGCTGAGACAGGTAGGTACAACATGCAACCGTCGGTCCAAGGATAGTTGCATCCTCGAGTTACACTCACTCTAGCACGGATTAACTAAGTGCAAGTATGGATCCGCAAGCGTTCAAGCTCCAGCTCTTGCTGCTTCCTCAAAGCCTGCGCAGGGCTTAGGACAGGAATCTGCAGCAGAACTGCACAGGACATCATACGCCTAACCCTGGCCCACGTTCATTTCCCGGCCGAACAACAACGGTTCTTGGAAGATGCACACAAAGGCCTCCATCTGTTCTTGCATCTGCTCCTGGTGTTGCTTCTGCAGCTGCAACTGCTGCTCTTGAAGCTGCCTTCAATGCACGCCAAGCAAGAGTGTTTTCAGACTCCGCGAAGTATGCGAAAACAGTTCGGCAGTGTTCGTAAGTGGATATCTTCGATGCGTCACATACCCTCGAGCAGACCGTTGAACCAGCACTTCTGCTCGTAAACTTTACAACCGGAGACGAGGAACAAAACGGACCGATTTTTGTCATTGCAGCTGAAACTCTGCATCAACTGCTGCTGCTTGTTCTGCTGATCTTGGTGTTGGCCACGAAGCGACTCCAGCTCCTGCACAAGTGGGATCATAACCCAGTACAGCAGCCGCAACCCACATGCGAAAACGGCGCTCGCTGAACATAACTAGACATACATATATGCATACATGAAAGTGTTGCATGCAAAACACAAACACACATATATATATATATATATACATATATATATACATAATATACACACACATACACATGTATAGATAGATAGATAGATAGATATACTTAAATCCCCATATTGTAGACAGCCATACAGAAAGACCTGACACCTCTTGGCACCCTGTTCTCGGCTCACTCCCTACGATGCTTTCCCGGGCACCTTCAGGCGCTCGGTCTGCTGCTGCTCTCTCCTCAGAACTCTAAGGTTTTGAGGGCTCAGGGCTTATACGGCCTGAGGATTTCTCAAGGATTTGAGGGCTCAGGGTTTATAAGGCCTAAGGATTTTGGGTTCAGGGCTTAGGCGGGTTTGGGGTTTAAAAGGTTGAGGTTTTGGAGAACAACTTCAAGACTGCGACAGCACACTTGCAATTTGTGGCTTAGTTCTTGCTTGGTGGCGTACTTCCTTCGTGGTCGTTGGGGAAAACTGCGTGTTGGGGTTTAACTGTATACAAGATGTATGAGAATCCTCGAAGCTTCGAGTTGAGAATTGGAGAAATGTCGTTCGTCTTCTTTCTCAGGACGGTAAGACAAGGCGGGCAGCCGACACATGAATCTTTTCGGCTCTCAGATGCCATGGACACGGTTGCTAGCATTCTCGCTGGGCTTTCGGCGTTTATTTTGTTTTTGCTATCGGGCATGGAGAGCCTATTGCAGCCCTCCGAAACATGGGCCAACCCGTCCCGTGTTTTGTTGGTCTATGATCGCTTGCTTCTCTCTGGTAGGCTAAACATAGGCATGCAGATTCGAGTGCTTCAGCTTCAATTATCGGCACGATGATCTCTGCTAACCGCACTCAAAACCCCTGACCCTAACCTTGACCCTTAGTATCTAGTTCTGAGTGTCCTCTCGGCCAAGATTTGAAGCGGGCTGCCAAACCGCCCCCAGATGACACCCCCCTGCGCATTGCCAGTTTTATGGGATCGAAATGCTCCTCAGGGCATGTGGTAATATGTCAGTCACAAGCATGTTCGAGCCACCCTAACCTACCATAACCTGCGCGTATGTAGGGGTCCCCCTAGTCTCTCTCCCCCTCCAACCCGCCACGCGGCTGCAGAGATTCCATCCTGAGCTTCTCCTCCATAAGCTGCTTCATCTCCTCACTTCTGCCAACGACTTGGGCTTCAGGGATGCTCATTATTGAAGTTTATTGCCACCTATCGGTGGGTTTTTTGGGGAGAAGTCGGGAAGAGTCGGCTGCTCCTGGGGGCATAGACCTCAATTGTGAGTCCAGGACCCGAGGCTCAAACATTAGACTCAGGCACTGCAAGTCTTTATATAATGATAATGTTTTCGAGGCCTCTGCGACTCTGAGTGATAGCTCTGTTATCCTCCTTCAAGCGGCTCTTGCTGGTGTTACTGATGCTGCTACTGTCTCTGCTTGTAGTCATGGCACGGCTTCGTACGATAACCGACATTCGTATGTTGAATTTTTGTAGCGCTTAATCATCGTGGCATGCTTGCTGCTGTACTGAACCGTATGTACACTTCTTGCACTAGTTGCGTTTCGGCTGGTTACGCTGGCTAAGCATGTCACTTAGACTGCATAGGCGCACTAGTCTCACGATTCTAATCTACGAGTAGAGTAGTTAGTTGCATAGTACCGATTGCTGCTGCTGTCCCTTTAAAGAGTAGGAGCAACAGCAGCGGCAACAGGAGCAGCAGCGGCAGCAGCAGCAGCAGGCCGCTGCAGTAACAGCACAGCAGCAGCAGCTGCTGATGCAGCAGCAGTATTGTTGTCATGATGCAAGCAGCCACAGTCTCTCCAACATGTACACTATGAAGTTGAGCCAACACTCCTCGTTCAGGTCTTAGGTTCGTTGGCCTAGCACACGAGCAGTTAAGATTTCTGCCCAGTTACCGATTTGGTGCCTTCCAGGTGCTGGGCACCAGCCATCTTCTCCTGCAGCCTCAGAAATCAGCGGAGCCGCATGCTATCGACACTTCTTGGCCCATGGAATCCAGACAAACTTTTGCAAACATGTGGCTGGAGGCAGAAACACATGTCAAATCATGTTAGACACGAAAAAACTTGCTGTGTAGGCAGCGGGCTTGTGCTCTAAGAGACGTTCCAGGATCTCGCCACCGAAAACGTTCTCTGCACCCACCGTTCCCTCGCCACCTCCAGCAGACTTCACGATGATGCGGCAAACCTCGCTCGGAGCTGTGTTGGGGGGCTCTGAAGCTGCTTCATCTTCTCAGATCCTGAAGGATTGACCCTATGGCCCTGCGATGCCCTGCATAGCCGCCTCCTCGTCCGGAGTGGAGTCCGCCAGCACCGGCACCAACTCGGCGTACTTCTCACGGAATGCTTTCCTTGGAAAAACGCTTTCGGGCCGCACGGGTCCAACAGCATAACGACGCGAGTTTGGCTCAATGTGCTTCCTGGATTCAATGACCAGAGAAAGCAGCTGTTCTTGTCTGTCAGATGAACCATGTCAGCCAAGCGGAGCTGCTCAGTTTGCCGGAGCATCACGTTTCTGTTCCTCAATGGACAAATGCCACTTCTTGAGAGGCTGTGCGCCGCGCTAGACACCCCGCATCTGAGTCATCATGATCTTTCGAGGAGCACGCGGTCGGGATGGCCAGCATCGTTCGGGCGAAGGCAACAAACCAGCCAGGTCGTCGATGCCTGCTGCGGCTCGAGGTGGGCCAACAGAGCCTCTGAAGCCTCCCGGAGTTCAGCAGTGTGTAGGCACAACACGCACGTATACGCACAAAATCTGGGCAGCATCGCCCGGCCCACCTCTGCAGCTTCGTCCAAGCATGGAACTTGACGAGATGTCTCTGCAAGATCTCGAAGGTACTTGCCTGGTCTGTGTGCTTTGGCTTCGTGCTCTACCTCTCTGCCCTGCATCGAGCCAAGCGACAGTTGGATTTTGAGAGAACTTGGAAGAAGTCCATGAGATCAACCGTGTCCAAAGCCGCTCCAGACTCCAGGCCTCTCAAAGCCCATCAACAAAAAGGCCCCAAGCTGCACCGCTGCAGCATCGGCCGGTTTCAGAACTTGCCAGCCGAGGGTCTGCTGAGTGTATGTTCGACAGGCCCACAAGCACCGCCTCGTGGCGACCGCTTTCAGTCGGGCCCAAGAAGCCCAGAGGGGAGGTGCAGTCAAGTTGCTGATGGAGGCCACCTCCCCTTCCAAGGCAAAGCTGTCGGAAAGCTCTTGCGCCTGAATCGCCGAGGCAGACCATGAAGCTGCATGAGGTTTTGTGACAGCACCAGGCCTCTGCCCAGTTCTGTAGCGGCGAGCCGCTTTGCAATGCTTCCAGGCAGCCTCGACACAAGGCCTCCGCTCTGGCAGCCGCTGCCTCCGCGAAGTCGCATACGGCCGCAAGGTTTCACGAAGGTGAAGTCGGAGACACGGAATGCGTCAGTGCCTGCGGCTCGGACTCGTCCCGCAATTCGTCGCCTGGGACCGGAGGGCTCCACCAGACAACATGCCTTCGGAAGGGTTTCAAGCATCTGAGCATCTGACTCACCTCCGATCCGCGAGCGGTGCGAAGCATCCGTGCGAACCGAGCCTCAGGCAGAGCCGACTCTTCTAGGAGACAGACACGGCCAGTGAAACGCAAACCCCGAGATGAGCACCTCGTTCAAGAGCTGGGTCTGAAGGCGATGGATTCCGGGCGCGTCAGAGCCAGAGGGAAGCTCCAGGACTTTGATGCGGCGGGTGATCGCCTCCGCAAACTTAGACCATCGACGAACCTTCCCTGAATACAAAAAGGCACCCAGCGAAAATCCTTAAGTCCCGATTTCCCACTCCGTCCCCGCCTTAGCTTCGGCTGGAAAGTGCTCGTTGCTGTGCCGCAGGATCAAGTCCACAAGCCGACAGTAGACTTCAGCTACGGCCTCGTGTTTTCAAGGAACGCTGCACACATAGCAATTCAGATTATAGTATAATATATTATGTTAGATTATATTAGATTATATTAGATTATATTAGTTTATATTGTACTATAGTATACTATGTTATATTATATCATATTATAGCAGCCATCGCAGCTCCGTCTCAACTCGCCAGCTTTCTGTGCAGCGAAGGAGCTGCATCTACACACAAGGCCGCATCCTGCGGCGAGGCCGAGCCAGTCGCGTAGCCTCAGAATTCAAAAGAACGAAGACTTCAGAAGAAGAAGGAGGATCAAAATCGTTCTGAGACGTAGTGAGTATTTCAGTACGAACTTTCTCCTCGTAAGCCTGTTTGCTTTATGTTTAGATTTCATCAGTTCAACACCAAGTACACATCTCGATGTCATGCTTCCTACCCTCCACCCTCCAAGCGTAAGGGACTCCCCACGCCAAGTGGCCATCCGTGAGGAAGGCCCAAAGCGACCCGGCGTTCACCCCTAAGGCTTTGGCGGCAGCTTCCAGACCTCCTCTGGCTCAGCACCGGGGGTGGGACGTAGGCTTTTCCGTTTGGAGGTTTAGCATTTAGGTTTTGGGGGTTCAGGGTCTAGGGTTGAGGGTTTTTTGAACAACTTTGCAATCAAGACCGGTCAGAACCCACATTCGTGGCCGGCAAGGACATAGCGGCATCCTGATCGATGACCAGGCTGTCTGCCTCCCCTTCATGATTCACCACTTTCTAAGTCCACTTCCAAGCCCATCTAGGGTTTAGGGTCAGGAATTAGACTTCTTTGGGCTTTTGGCGATCACTCACCAAAGGTGAGGTTCTTGGTGTGGAGTCGGTTGGAGGTGAAACCTGTGTTGGGGTGTGGGCGATCATGCTTCGTTCACTGCTGAAAGATCATCCAACTCAGACCGGTTTAGGTGTTCTCGGGCTTACCGGATTTAGCGCGTGTGTCGGGTATATGCAGCTCACAGGGTCCAGAAGGCTAAGAGAGCTTTTCGTGCTTATATCATCAGCATGACACCCCGAACTGAAGAGAAGAGAAATGGGTGGAGTCATAACGAGAACTCACATCACGTAAGTACATTTTCCGAAGTGATTTCTCTGGTATGCTCCTCGTTTTTGGAAAGGTAGCAACTTTGTCGAGTCTGATGGCTTAGATCGGTTCCTGAACCCTATAAATAACCCAAAACCCCAAAGCCCGAACCCTCCCCCAAACCCCGAAGTTCCACGGCATCCTACAGCAACCAGCCTTTCGGCTCGCAGCGCAGGGATTCCGGGGACCCGTCGAAGCGCAGCTCCGCAAGGAGGATCAAGCCTCGGTTTCTTGTTGGCAAAGCAAAAGGTGGAACATTCTGAAGCAGGTTGAATTGAAGCACTCGC